AGCTTCTGCCAACCTAGTAGTTTGAAAGCATGTAAAAATGCAAGTAGAAAAATAGGAACCACCTTTAGTGGGAAGTAACGGTGTTCCGTGCGCCTTTGGCATTTAGTCATGCCGGCCATATGACCATGGAGATGTCTTCGGACAGCGCTGGCTCTTCGGCTTAGAAACGGAGATGGGCACCGCCCCTAGAGCCGGAAATGACTAGCATGCATGTGCAGGGGAACCTTTACCTTTACTAAAGGCTTAAATACATTAATTAAATCCTTTTGAGAAGAGAGGGAAAATGTATATTTGCGAATTAGCAGTTTGCCATCATATGCAATGGTCCAATCTCTGTAAATTATAGAAGGTTCAATAAGAAAACTCAAGGGTCACATGTCTTCTGGAAGACATGTGTTGTCCACCTTGTATATAAATCAAGTAACTGAGATTCAATAGGCAAAAACATGGAAGCCTTTCATTTGCAGCAGGCCCTTGAATCACTTTCTACTTATATTTTTGCCCCTTAACCCATCAAGCAATAACTCCTGAGCCTACCCATGCTTACTACATATATAATGTACATATTGCTTCTAAGTAAAATCTCCCATTCTGTGACTTAATGTATCATTTTGTGTTTGTACATGGGATGGGTACAAAATTAGCTTTGATCTGCATCGTAGCCAGAAACAAAATTATCAACTTTCTCCATGTTTAAACCATACACAGTTCCATTCGATCGTTTAGTTTTTATGAATCATTCTTTAAAATAAGATGATGCAGTCTGGCCACGGAACTGGGAATGAAATCTGACTACAGCAATGCAGAATCCAGAATATTCAATAACCAGGTAGGGCTTAGAGTGAGGGTTGAAGCTGGCATGGTAGGACAGTCTTCAAAATGTGGTGCAGATGCCCTCCACATCCAAGGCTGAGAAACAGACAGCCAAAAATCCACTTTCACATAGTAAATAAACATAAGACATTATGAAGGGCTTGGTTGCTTCTTCATTATTAGGTTTCCTAGTATCTGCAATTAAAACAACATATCTGTCCCAGCAGCCTTGACCTTGATTCCTCTTTTGGTATAGCCTGAATGCTGGTTGAATTTTGAAACAGATCTACTTCCATGCCCTGAATGAAGCTCTTTTATGAACAATACTCCTTATATTGAAAAAATAAAGAACGAATACATCTAAACCATTATAGTGAGTCAGAACCAGTGGTGCGATACGACCGGTACGACCCGGTATGGACGCACCGGTGCCTGCTGGGAACACCAGCTACTGTTCCGGTACAGTCAGGGCCGGATTTAGATGAAAAGAGGCCCTAGGCTATTCCACTTATGAGGTCCTTTCACCTCCCATTTTTCAGTTTGTAAATTACATG